GTGAACAAGAAATTCAAATATATTTATACAATCTTCAACAAGAAGCTACAGATTTTCTTGTACAAAGATTAACTTACTGTAAACAACAAAAACTTCAAGAAAAATTAGCCGAATTATAAAAATCAGAAAATCAAATAGTAATTCAAGATAACTTACCTTTGCCAACACCAGAAGAAAATAATGAAGAATCAGAAAAAGAACAAGAAGAAGAATCAGAAGAAGAACAAGAAGAAGAGATGATAGATAATGCTTAATTCAATGATCTGATTGCTAATCTTTATCAATTGGCAACTGTTATTGGTAATAATCAAGAAAGAGGGGAAGCAAAATTATTGACTTCTATGGTGACACTCAAGATCCTATTGGATGACTCCAAGACTTTGAAAATGCAAGTTGAGCTAATAATATATTTGACCTCAGAAAGTAACAAATTATTGATGCATATTTGAAAGAATCCACTAGAACATGGTTAGCTAGCAAAAGAGTCTTAGTAGCAGATTAACCAATCCAATGGAATCCAAATGATCCTATCAGTCTACTAGACTTAGCAGCTTCCTTTACCTATCAATTCAAATAAAAATTTAGAACTATTGATAAGGTATATGAATGGCAACAACAATTAAATCAACAAAAGCAATTACCAACTGAAATAGTAGAACAATATTCTGCTGCTGTAAGAGAATTACTTTCCTGTATTGATCCAGATAATGGATATCCAGAACATCTGAAAGTAATGATGTTCATTGAAGAATTAAAGCCAGAAATAAAATTCTTTGTTAGTTCAACTCGACCAGCTACTCTAGATGATGCTATTTATACTGCTCAACTATATGGATCAAGCTATCAACAATTTACTGGTTTAAATAATATCAATACAACACCAGCAACAAGCCTATTAAATATTCCAGTAATTCAACAGCCAATGGAGAATAACTTAAATCAAGTCTCAGTAGGATAACTCGTCTGGATAATACTAGGTAATATAGTCGCTTGTGTTAAAGTCATAATTATTAGCTATAAATCTTTCTACATGTGATTTTCATGTGATTTGGAAATTTTTGATCTTGACTATTATTTTCTTTAAAAAATTTTTTGATCTTTCCGAAAGAAAAAAGAATGGCTATAGATAAGAAATTGGTCTCAGAAAAAAATTCTATTTCGGGCAGTTCGACAAATACTTCCAAAACTGTTGCTATCAATAAGTCTGATACAGAGTTAGAAATCACTGGAGAATTAGAGGAACCAAGCTTTAAATTAACAATTAATCTTCCAAATTCTCCGCTGAAAACTTATGTTTTCGTAAGTATATATAAAGTTTGGAAATTCGTATTTCTCTTATGTACTAAAAATTCGTTCTCTTAGGCAAATTCTAGTGAGTTGGTTCAAGAGATCCGACAGTTTATAATAGAATCTCCGGAAACTTTTTCGCATACTTGTTTCTTTCTATCTTGGAAAGGAAAGAGATTAAACGATTATAAGGAACTACAGGAAGAAGGCATAACTCAAGATTGCGAACTTGATTTAGTTGAGGGTAACATACTTGAATGATAGATATTTGTTTTAACACGACTTTTTGCCGAGCACAAGTTCTAATATTTTGATTCGTTCTAGACGCATATACTGAACGTGAGGCTCGCATTCACATAATTCATCTAAGAGAAATTCTTGCTGGACCTTTCAAACAAGATCCGTCATCCATTGGACTTGATTCTGGGTTATCTTTTTTATCTGCTGTAACTCAAAGCAATGGTATAACACAAAATCAATCAAACGGTTTCTGTAATGATTGATATTCTAATAATTTTCGATATTTCAGAAAAATCTTCCAATACAAATCAAACGAATGGAAAATTCGTAAAAAAGCCAGAAGATGAATCATTGGCGGATCAATCACTGAAAACCCCTTTTACCGGCTATGAATTTGGAAATCCTTCCCTCGCAAAATTTATTCCAGATAATTTTCAGCGTATTCCTATAAAATGTTTGGGAAGTTTACACTTGTCTGGATGGAATCCAGTTCCATTTGAAAGACGAACGCGAGGTAGTTATGATTTCTTTTGTTAATTCTTTGATCTATGATTTAAAATCTTACATAATTTATTTGGTAGGCGATTTATTATATTTAAGCGTGACAACGATCGAAGGAGATACGCGGCATATTACTGCGTGTGTTAAGGGATTTTATATAAACAAATCAACAAATACACATTTTGATCCAAGTCCTCACTCAGAATTAGAAAAATTTCAAGCACATTCTTTAATTACCCTTCTTCAAAAAATTTCACCTAGTTTTCAGCGAAATTTTAAAGCTTTACAAGAATATATCGGTCGCTTTCATGTATTTGAAACGATTCCAGTCAACAATTGTTTACCTGCTTATTCTTGGATGGTGAAACCAACAAAACATACACATGATTTAAGTCGTGCCGATGAACTTTATTTAAATTATGGAACTGATGCGGTCGATTCACTCCGTGATTGGAATGATGAATTTCAAACGCAGCGTGAATATCCTCGAGCTGATCTTAAAGATCGTGTCTTGCGCGAGCGACTACTCAATAAAATTCAAGCAGATTTCACTGATAGTGCAGTCAAAGGAGCTATATCTGTAGTGAATGGCAATGCAGTCCCTTTTAATCCTCGAGATCCGGAAGAAGAGCATATGTACGTTTATAATAACATATTCTTTAGTAAAGCTTTTGATACACGAGGAAATTTCGCAAATCTTGGTGGAAATGATGCTGCACATGTGGCTACTGGAAAAGATTTGGAAGGAATAAGAAAAATGAATTCAATCGATATTGAGGGACTGTATACATTAGGGTGTGTTGTTGTTGACTATAAAGGTACTCGCATAGTAGCCCAAACTATTGTACCAGGTTGGTGTCCCATGCAAAGAAGATTTTCAAGATTTGCAAGTCATTGTATTCTATGTATAACTTTGCAATCTACATACAAACAGGGATTTTTCGACGTCAAGATGATTCTATTATTTATGGCTTTTTCGATAATGGGAGAGATGAGCCGAGACTTTGCTCGGATCCGCAATTTCATGAAATACTTAGAAAAGCAGCCAAAGCATTGCACATTGCAGAACATAGGTAATTTGCATTTATTAATTCTTTTCCTGACCTACCATCTTTACTAAGTACCGTCTACTTATACTATAAAATCTCAAGTGTGAGTGATGCAAAAGGTAATACAGTTAACCTATACACCTCTCTTGAAACCAAGGTACATTTTGGAAAAGATATTCTGCTTCGCTCTGCTGTATTTATAAAAGCCAAAAGTAATTATGAAATTTTAAATGTAGGGCTTGATGGGCGATGATGGACGTCGATATCTTTTCGATTTATATCGCTTGAACCCAATTGATATTGAATTTCAGGAGAAAGAATGCTCTTCAAAAGAAGGAAATGATATTCCTCCTTATCCTCATAAACTGACTCTTCTAAGACCAGAATTGATTGAATTCTTTTGGGAAAATAAATGTCGAGCATGGGCAAAAGAAAAACGATTAAACAAACAAGAGGTATTAATAAAATCGTGAGAATAGCTAGCATTAAATAAAAATTATATTATCAAAAATTAATTAACATCTAAATTACCAGCTTGAAGGTTTGGAAAAAAATAACCTTACCGATGATCAAGCAGAAAATGATGAGTTTGATTTAGCGCTTAATGCTGACGCATTCACGGATTACAAACAGCCCGCAGGCGAGGAGCATGGAGCGAAAAAAGCTGTAGACGAAGAGAACGTGAGGTCAGCATCAAAATTTCTACGGGATACCATGATCCCCACTCTGGTAATCTATGTATTAAATGTTTCCTATGTCGGAGTATCAATGTGTGATACTTTTTGAATTTTTATGTGGTGATTCCGGCAAAATTTGCCTCGAAAATTGCATAATTTATTTAGAATATGAAATCTATGCATTATTCTATAATTAGATGGTGGAGTTCGCAACTTTTTCTTCATCTCCTATTGATGGTGCATCACTTACAAAGGCAATGCATCGCCGAGGTATAAATATGCGATACCTTGGAGTGATAGCTTCAATGGCAAGTGATTCACAAGATAAAAATATGGAACATATCAAGGTAATCTTTGTATCTTTGACTTGTAATTACGAAATGTATTCTATATAAATACATTCAAATAATTATTATCAATTATCTTCAGCATTTAGCTACACACGAGATTATTGTCAGATCAACAAAACGTATATTGCGTGATCTTCTTCGAGATGTTCCTCATGTAGCTATACAGCATTGTGTAACTCATTTTTTGAATTGCCTTCTCGGGACATCGTATAATCCAAAACCACAACCAACACTACCGACCGATCAATTAATAGGAGAACATCGGCGGTATCTTTATTTTAAAATGACACCAGAATCACTGGTTCAGCAAATTCGAGATATAGCTCTTTTACATTTTAGATATCAATTATCAGAAGATTTTGTTGAAAAAGATGTTCGAAAGCTTCCTTTATTACGAGAAATATGTCTGAGAAATGGCATACAACTTATATCACAAGTTTATCATTTCACAAAGAAAAAATCACACAAGAAAGACTCAAAAAATAAAAAGAGACCTACAACTTTCTTACCAGAAGATGTCTTGAATTTATTACCGACAGTCAAACAAGCAAATACTAAGGTATGATTTATTTGATATATGTGGTAAATCTAACCATATTTTCATTTTTTTTAATTTAATAATTTATTAGTGCACGTTTGCTGAAGAAGCTTTTGAGGCCGGTAAATTAATGATAGCACAAAGTAAGGGAAATTTTACTATATTCTTATATCTTTATTTTAATTGACTTTTTGATTGCTGCTTGTCATCGATTCTGGCTTTAGGTCAACGTGAAACAGGAGGTGAATTATTATTACAGTCCTTATCGCTGTATGAACAAAGCTATGGATTCTTACATCCAGAGACTGCAAAATGTTATTCGGCTTTGGCAATGTTCTTTTATCACAACGAGGAATTGGAATTTGCACTCGAATTTCAGAAAAAAGCTGTTGTGTCTTTAGAAAGAACATGTGGCGTCGACAGTTATGAAGCAGTCCATAGTTATGTATGTATACAAGATTAATTATTTAGGAAAAACTATGATTAACACTTCGTATTTTAAAGCTCCATCTCGGTTTATTTGAACACGCTGCTGGACACACGGAATTAGGGTTATGTTATACGCGCCATGCTATGCAATATTGGGAAATTATTTATGGTCCCTTTCATCCAGATGGAGCCACAGCTGATGTAAGTTTTAATAAGAATTAATACAAAATAATAATAATTAATAATAATATTATTAAATACTAAATAATATATTTAAAGAATAATGTAGGAGTTATGCTTCAAAATTTAAGAGATTTTGAGGGTAGTATCAAATTCTTTCAGCGAGCCAAAGATACACAAGAGTGTGTATTTGGACAAGAACATGTTTTAACGGGTGAATCGTAAGTGCTTTTTATCTATTTTTGTTTGCTGAATTCTTTTCGGTTTTTCTTAACGATTGATCTTTGAATTCAAGATATCATATTCTCGCTAAAGCATTGGCCTTGGCGGGAGATTTCAAAGGCGCTTTAAATGCTGAAAAATCGGCATATAAAATATTCCTTTCAACTGTAAATATATTTTTTATACTTGTGAATTGGAGCATTATTAGTAGTCAGTCATATTTATTATTATGATCATAATTCTAGTTAGGAGCAGATCACCTCAAAACAAAAGAAACAGAATTTCTCCTCAAAGAATGGACATCAAGTGCAGTGCAAACTGTAAGCCAATAATACTGTTTTTTTTAAACTGAATTACATATAAAATGCCCTCTTAATGAATTTTATACACATATAGGCAAAGATGGCGCTTCAAAATTCTCAAGAAAAGCAAAAAATAGTAGTTCCAAAAACGAATCCGATTCAACTAAAAACTCCACCCCAATTAAATGATATTACAACTGTTAATAGAAAAAAAACTACAGATAAAAACTTAAAACCTTAATACTGCGATTTTAGAGATAAATAATAAATAGTAATAGATAGATTTTAAATCTATAATTTTGACTTTTCATTGCATTATCATTATTTAATAATAAATACAAACTTATGAAGCAATGAGGGAATACATAATAAATACGAGGCTTGGAAGGGGGGAATAAGAGATTTAACACCAAAATAACCAATATAATAAAAAAGGGAAAAAATAACTGCTTTCTATGCAGCTATATATACATATATAAATCTAAATAGCCGCAATATTGAATAATTCTATAAAAAAATGTGTTTAAAATAAATCTAAACAGTTTTATCGAGAGCAGCATATGGATTTACAGCCAAAACCTTAATAACAGGAGGACTTTTCTTGCAATCAGCCGTAACCACTACTTGAAGTCGACTCAACTCTCGAATTATTTGTGAATTAAGAATTGAAGGATCTGTAGTAAGAGAAATATGAGGTAATTCAGAAGTTTTAACGGGGGGGATGGAGAATTTAAGTTGGGAAATTTGATTTGACATTGGATTTTCTGTAGAGTTTTCGACCGGTGGAGTAGAAATACGAGTAGAAGATACTGAATAAATGGAGGCGGTATTATTATTTGGAGCATCAGTAACTGAAGTTAAAGCATCGTTAACATCTAAAACAGGAATATCTTCGTCTTCGTCTTCGCCGATATCGGAACTAGCATCAAAAAGTCTATGTTCGTCTTCAATAGGTAAGCTAGCCACATCCATTAATTCATAATGATAATCGTCGTTAACATCAGCGAGTAAAGCTTCTTCATCAACTTCTAACCCCTCCTCCTCCTCCTCTGCAAAGCCACCGTCATCATCCGAAAGGGATTGAAGCGAGCTTACACCAGCTTTCCATATGAGCGTTAATTCATTCGATTCTGTATCAAATACAAATTTTTCTAGGGGTAGTTGGTCTAAATGGACTCGTTTCTCGATACCAAAAACAGGAACGAGAACGTCGAAAGCATGATCTTTCACACCGACAACAACAGCTTCACGTATGACGGGACCCGTTTGTTCCGTTAAATTGTTGAGCAGTACACACAAAAAGAGATGACTGCTTTGTTCTTGGGCATTCTTTGACGCATCTTTCTTTACATTGCAGTGATTAGCCGTCTTTTGAACGGTATCCTTATCAAGATAGAATCTTTTCTCTATAGATAAGCCATGAAATTAGAAAAACATTCTATAAAATTAAATGTGATATTTAAAAAATGTAATTTGCCATACCGCCAGCCAAAGCCGACTCAAGCATTCGATGAACGAGAACGTCCGCATATCGCCGTATAGGTGAGGTGAAATGTGTATACAATGGAGTATTTAAGGCATAATGATGATATTTGGCAATATCCAAAGTGCCAGTGCAGAAATATTTGGCTTTTTGCATCGGTTTTATTGCTAAAAGTTTTAGAACCTAAAAATAATAAATAGATATTAATTATATTCAAATAGGGGGGACCGTCAGTAAAAAACCAAGCAAATCGGTAAATCTTAATTTTGAGATAATCCGAGTTTATCTTGATGTTACACTAATTTTCATGTGCGTAAAAAAAACTTTAATATCTCAAAACTTTTATATATGATAATTGGCATGTCTATTGTTTAAATAAAAAACTCATTTTTAAAATTTTTGATTTGTTTGGTTTTTACTGACTCACGCACATAATATAAAAATAAAATAAATCAATATAATGATTATAAATACCCTTCTAACAGTGTCATCTTCGATGGGGTTAAAAGATTTTTGCAATGCACCAGCAGAGGATGAATCAACTTTATAACCCAATCTAAGAGCATGATCGACAAACTCATTCTAAAATAAGAATATCAAAATTTAATACATTCATATTTGAAAAAAAGTTAATAATATCAATTCAAAATTACTAGATTCTTACAAGTCTACGTTCAATAGGAGCTGCATGCCGTCTTAGCAACGCTTGTTCGGGAAAAGCACTGGAAATTTTCTGTGCAACACTCATATTGGCAAGCAACATAAACTCCTCTATTAAACGATTGGCATCTTTCTGTTCTAAAACGTGACATTCAATTGGTTCGTTATTTTCATCGAGGTCAAAGTCAAGTGTGACAGTATTTAAAGATAAAGCGCCTCTTCTAAATCGATTTTCTCGAAGGCGTTGGGCTAAACCCTGTATGATAAAATTAATATATGTTAAGATTAGAAGAGCGCAACAATTACATTAATGTGCAAGAATCAAGATTAAGCATAATAGAAACTTGCATGAAAAACTTTAATATCAGCTTCAACCTCCTTGGCAACAAATTCGTTGTAGATTTTGACTTTTGAATTCAAAGGTTTCCCTTCAATGACCTCCTGAACATGATCATATGACAATTTGGCACAAGGTCGAATGATTGTTCTTCCATACCAAGTTTCTAATACTCTTCCATCTGGATTCATTTTCCAAATTACAGAGAAAGCAAGCCTATAAAATAAAGATTACTATGAATAAAAAGAAACATCGAATTTATTTATATTATTAGTATATTCAATATTACCTATCAACTCCAGGATTTAAGCTGCATAATTGTTCAGAAAGCAGTGGAGGCAACATAGGCACTGATTTCTGTACTAAATAAACAGTCGTGGCTCTCTTACGAGCGTCACGATCAAGAGCAGTATTAGGTTTTACAAAGTAACTAACATCTGTGATGTGCACGCCTATTTCATAATTCCCATCAGGCAAACGAGTACAAGATACAGCATCGTCAAGGTCTTTAGCATCGACAGGATCAATTGTGAATATTCGATGAGAGCGAAGATCAACACGGGATTCAAATTCTCTATCAGGAATAGCCCAAGGCGTAGTTGGAAGACATTTTGTAACGTTTTCATTAAAATCATCCGATGATACATTGTTATCTTTAAGCAATGCTTCAGTTTCAACCTCAATGCTGCCTATTTCACCAATTTGAGTAACTAATGTACCAAATGGATGAAGCGATGTAATGGGCCAACGCTTGATACAAGCCTATTTATTTAAAGATTTCAAACAAATTTCTAACATTAATCCTAAACCAAAAAAACAAAAATATATATTATTATATATACTTACGACAAATAATTGTTGAGCATATGCTTGATGTTTCTCAACAAAATCAACAGGAGCTTGCTCGGTTGGGATTGCAATCAAAGGAACGCGTTTATCGGTCTTTATAAATTCAAATAATATGATAAGAAAATCGTATTGAATTTAAAATAAATAGCAAACAAATTCATACCGGTTTAAACCAAACAATTTTCGGACGATCATTTCTATCATCTTTTTTATCTTGTTTTGTTTCTTCATATCTCGGTTCTATTCCCGCAGCTCTATCTTCTGCTTCGCGGCGAGCTTTTTCTGCTGCTTCTCTTTCTTTTGTTGCAGTAGATGAAGGTCTTAAAAGTGCCAAAGTGCTATTAAATTTAATAATCGATTAGAAATAGTGCGAATTATTTTAATCAATTACATATTTATAATAAATTGTAATAAATAAATACCCCGAGAATAATTGTCCTGGCATTCGTTCCATGACAGCAACAACATGGCCACAATATTTTGGTCTTTGATCATCAGTCACAATATCATCATCCTCAAAAAGCAATAAACCTTGACCTTCAACTTCAACATCGTCTTTCTTTTTATCAACTTTCTTTTTGTCAATACCAGCGCTTTCTTCTTTCTTTCTTTTTTTTTCTTCTTTTTCTTTTTTAGTCTGCCAGACCTTCTCGGGATCTAAAAGTTCGACAGCGACAACATCGCCTTCTAAAGCTCGATTTCTATCTTTCGAGCCACAGATATAAATATCTGCATCCAAAGATTCTGTTGTTACATAGGCATCAGATCGATTTCGCTTATTAATTCTCAAAACACCAGAGACAAGTTCCCCATTCTTAAGATAAGGAGGAAGAGATGCCTGGGGCAAGTAAGGAGCGAAGAGAGATTTCCTTTGTTGTTGATTATTGTTGTTGTTGTTATTTTGTTGATTTTGTTGTTGTTTCTTTTGAATAACTCCAAACTTTGGCATGGAAAAAGGTTGAAACTGTGGATTTATAATGGCGACAGGAGATGCAGCTATAATTTTATTTAACATGTAAATTACAAAAATAATTAATAAATTTCTTATGTAAATTTAATAAAAAATCTATCTATACTAACTTGTTCTCCAGTTGCTCTCATAGTTTCTGGAATTGCTACGGCGATGCCCTTTTACATCTTGACTTGTAGGACGTCCTTGGTTCTTTTCAAGTTCCTTTAGAACATCTATACTTCCATTAAGTGCAACGCTGTGCCTTCGATGATGAGTTGGAGGAGCTACTTTTAGAGTTGCATTAAAAGTAGTGGCAGCAGACAATGTATGTCCAAGAGATTGATGACGTCGATGAGTCTTCTTGGCTGCATTTTGAGATTGATCTTCCAAAGGCTTTTTAAACTCAAAAGGAGATTTTGGAGACTCTGGTTCTTTTTGCTTATCAGAAGACATGACAATGTCTTCCAAATTGAAAGATTTGCGATTATTTGTATTTTTTTTGCGACGTTTTTTCTCATCGTCAGACTCATAGTCATCATCATCATCCTTTTTCTTAATTTCATTATCTTTTTGTTGTTGTGCCTTACCCTTATCAAGACTCATCCGTCTCAATGAAGATATCGTATCTTGCAAAGCATTTTCAATATCAATGATGGGCTTACCATCTTCAGAATCATGAATCGATTTCAATGAAGTCGTGACAGATGTAGTAAGAGGAAAAGAAAAAGATACGGAAGCACCCTTTTTGTGTTGTTTTGCAGCAGCTGCACTTGAGCGCTTAGCAGCATTATTATTAGCTAAGTTAGACTCATTCCTTTTATGTTTAGAGACTGTATCAACTGGTGCTTCTTCTCCTTCCTTCTTATCAGGTTTTTGTGGCTTTGGAGGAGCAGGCAAATTTTTAAGGCTAGCAATGATTTGTTGAAGTGATTCAAGAGCTTCCGACTTATTTTCAGAGTCATCTTTACTTACTCTAGATTTCACAGCTCCTCGCGAAGAGTTCTGAAGTTCCCCTACATTTGCCATTGATTTACCACGACGATGAACAACAGCAGATTTATCTGTATTACCATTATTACCATTATTATTGCTTTTATTCTTGTTGGAAACTTCGGCGGTGTTGGCAGTTGATTTGCGACGTTGATGTTGACCCTTAGGATCAGTCGAATCCAATACTTCAGTTTCTTTGAACCTATTTTGATCTGAGCTTTCACTAGAGAATGTACGGTTTTTACTTGGTCTTTTCTCTTTTTTCTTCTTGTCATCATTCGCGTCATTGCTATTATTGTCTTCGGAAATGGTGACAGCTTTATTGGTTTTCGTATCTTTACTGTCGCTTTTCTGTAAACCTTTCGAGTTTTGCTTATTTTGCTTCTTGCGACCTTGCTTGTCAGAAGAGTCTTCTTGCGAAGATGTTTCGTTGTTGAGCTTTGAGACTGTGACGGCAGTGACAGAGATTGAATCATTGACGAACGAAGAGGACGTTCCGGAAGTAGTAGCGCTAAAAACGTGGTCGGTGTGGTTCATTTCATCAGACATCGTGAAAACGAGTGAAGCTTTTTTTGGCCTATCCTGGGTGTATAAAGGAAGGAATGTTTCTCTTTTCAAGAGACTCCAAATATAAAGTGGTTCAAATGTGATGAAATGGTGTAAATATAATAATACAAATAGTATTACATAGTTGCATGTGTGATCAAAAATTGTGAAACAGATACCTGGTAGAGTTATAATTCTGGCTGGATCCTACTGTTTAGAAAATAAAATCACGTCTTTGGCCTGAATATTGAAAACTTAGCAATGCACGTGGCTAATATACGTGATTGATGTGACTTAACAGAATTAGTCACATTACCATCAAACTTCTATATTCCTATTATAAATTATAATCAGTCATATTATATAAAAATCTATTATAATTACACTAATTATTCATGTTAAAATTCTTTTCAAAATTTATATAGAAAAGAAATTTCTTGATAATTTTGTTAATTAAATTTTGTAGTTATTTTTTAATTAAAAGTTTGAATAAATTATACAAGAATTGGGATAGATATTACAGTGATAAAAAGTAATATAGTCAAATCTTTCTATAGTCATCACTCTTGGAAAAGCAAAATTTGCTGATTATAGAAAGAATGTGATTATAGAGAGATTTTTTTTACTATATTTATATGTAAATAGAAAAGTAAAATATGATAACTAAAAAAAAATATAACTATAAATAAATATGACTATAAAAGAGTTTAATTATAATTTGAAAATATTATATAAAAATTCTTATTAGTTATAATATTCTATAATTTGTAATATATTTAGAAAATCAATTTATAATTATCAGAATTTTTTATATTTTTAAATAATTATAATAAATATTAATACTAATAAAAATATAAATTAAATTTATAATATTATTATTTCTTTTTTATTTCTTATTTTAAATTAAATAAATAATGAATATAATATATTTATAAAATATAATAAATATTATTTCATATAATATATAAAATGTTATTTATATAATATATAATATGATATATCCACATGATATAGCAAATTTTGATTATATAATTATTATTTTTATGAACTTATCAATATTTAAACAGTATTGTTCTTATTAATTCAAGAATTGTTGAAATTAATGAATTAACAAAGTAATATAACAATGAAAGAACAAAGACTGAATGAATTATAATTAATGAAGTTCATTAAAGATTCTAAAGATTTCCTATGATAGCTTGTATGTAAACTAACTAAATATTATCAATAAAGAATAGAAATAAATAGAAAAGTAAAGTGAAAAGATAAAAAGAATTAAAGATAGTTTCAAAGTGAATAACAGGACTTATTGAAGATATCTAATGAAATAAAATAATAATTAAATTTATTAAGAGTGTCAATTACAAAATTTAAACAAAAATAATTAAAAATAATCAAACAGAACTTATTGAAACTATTTAAAAATAATAAAACAAAAGTAATAAAGTCAACAGCTTATTTAGAGTGAAGAAGCATCCACTACTTGTAATTTCAAGATTTGAAGATAATCAACAAAAATAATAGTATATTTACAAGTAAAATATTACTAGTAAGAACTTTGTTATTTATTAAATAAAAGGATTAGAGCATGAGAGTTTCTAGT